GCCGGCGCGCCGCGAGGGGCATGGGCAGGGAAGGGAAGGACCAAACAATCCGCGCGGACCTCCGAGAGGTACTGCAGGCTTGCTAAATGTATTATGTTCGCGTGGCACATGCACTAGAAGATTACTACGCTGCTCATACATGCTGACTCACTGCGCTGCAATGCAACTTGCTGGCATTGGGATGTTATCAGCGTGCAGGTGCTTGCGAACTGCAGTGCAGAAGAGCCAGGGAGGACCGCGGGGGAGCAGGGAGAGAGGCCCGATCCTCGAAGTTCTTCGCGATGAAGTCGCAGCTCTTGTGCAGGTCACCCTTGTAGGCGCTGAGCCCCTCAAGCACCTTACCGCGGCAAGCTCCCCCGCGAGCGCCCCGTGCGAGCAGGTGGGAGGGAGGGCGCCGAGCACCCCTTCCTCCTCGTCCTCCTCGTGTTGCTCCTCGTCCTTGTCCTTCGCCTCCTGGCTATGATACACTCGTGCTGCTGGTGTGGCGCTGCGGCCGGCGCTGCTCCTCCTCGTCACCATCAGAAAGAGTCGTCGTCATCAAAATCACAGCCGCCAGTCGCCCTCGCCTACCATAACAATCAGTATCATCATGACAAGCCTCATCATCATCATCATCATCATCATCATCATCATCATCATCATCATCATCGTCATCATCATCATCATCATCATCATCATCATCATCATCATCATCATCATCATCATCACATCATCATCATCATCATCATCATCATCATCAGCATCATCATCATCATCATCATCATCATCATCATCATCATCATCATCATCATCATCATCATCATCATCATCATCATCATCATCAATCACCATCACCATCATCATCATCATCATCATCATCATCATCATCATCAGCATCAGCATCATCATCATCATCATCAGCGGCATCATCACCACCACCACCGTCATTTTCATCAGCATCAGCAGCAGAAGCAGCAGTATCATCACCACCACCACCACCCTCATCATCACCATCATCATCATCACCACCACCACCACCATCCTCAACAACACCATTAGCATCGTCATCCTCAAGATCCGCATCGTCATCAACAGCAGCATCATCGTCATCATCATGATCATCACCGTCATCGTCATCATCGTCTTCAGGGTCACCACCCACTACCACCATCATCATCGCCATCACCCACTACCACCACCCCCACCAACACCACCACTGACACAACCCCTCTCCCTCCTCCTCCCACCTCCCACCCACCCCACCCCCCACCCCCTCTCGCACCCGCCCCCCTCCCGCCCCCCCCCCCTCTCCCACCCCCTCCCTCCTACCCCCCATCCTACCCTTCCCCCCCCCTCCCCCTCCCCATCCCCCCTCCTCCTACCCCCCCCCCACATAAGGGCCTTCAGCGTGTCCATGATGTCCTCCTTGGTCGCAACGAGATCCTCGGCAGGCTGGGGGCGAGGGGCCGCCAAGGAGGGTCGGGCCACAGTGAAGGTGCTTGAGAAAAGCGTGCAGTTGCGCTTCCTCGCTATTCATCTCACATGTGCCCTTTTCCTCCTTTTCCTTCTCCTTCTCCTTTTCCTCCACTTCCACATCATCCTCCCCCCTCTCTCCACATCATCCTCCCCCCTCTCTCCCCGTCATCACTCGTCCTCTCCCCCATCCCCGTGTCCTCTCCCCTCCCCCATATCATCACCCTCCTCCTCCTCTTCCTCCTCTCGGTACCTTTCCTGTTCCTTCTTCTGTCTGTCTTCCTGTTCCTTCACCTTCCTCTCCTTCTCCCCCGCCGCTGCCGTCGAGACAAGGATACCAGGTAAGGTGATGGGGAACGATTGGGGGGACCAGCCAAGTGGGGAAACTGTAAGCTGACATCGGCGACAGATCGCCGATAGGCCGTCGGTAACGAATGGGGTGCGCTATCGGCCCCTGTCGGCGATCAATGGGCGACTGTGGATCGATGCGTTCCCCCTGGGCATATCCCCCGAACACTGCCCCTGATGGGATGCATGACCCATGAGCATGAAACACGGGGCCACTGATAGTAGACGCGACGGGCTGTGGACGCGCCGACGAGGCGATGATGCAAGGGCACCCTTTGCAAAGTCACCCCCATCCTGACTGTGGACCTTGACTGTGCCTAACAATGACAAATACATATAAATCTCTATATATATATATAGCAAATATGTGACAATGGAAGTAGGACCGCGCGGCGACCAGCAGGGACAGGCGCCGGTCGAGGCGGATCCACTGGATCAACCCTGCGGAGGAGGAGAAGAGAGGGAAGGGCAGGATAGCATGACCGGCGACCGAAGCCACCCCTCAGAAGCAACCCCGACCCCCGCCCGGGTGGGGGATGAGCTGAGGAGGGCCGAGGGAGGAGGAAAAGAGGAGGGGGAAGGAGGAGGAGGGAAAGGAGGAGGAGCAGTGGGATAAGCTGCGGAGGGAGGAGGGGGAAGGAGCGCAGCGCCTCAGGAAGGTCTCCCGCCGCGCACGCGGGCGCGCGACGGACTACCCCCTGGCGCCGCCTACTCACGGCACGGCGCCGTAAGAGCAGGAGGCAACGCAGAAGAAGAGCAACTGGAAGAAGTCGCCCTCAAGGCCGTGGACGCAGGCCAACTTGCCGCCGACGAAGGAGGCGTGGCCACCGAAGAAGACGCCGTGCCACCAGCCGACCACGGAAAGGCAGCGAATCACGACATGGTCGATCAACGCGCCGCGTGGCTGCAAGAGGAGCCCCCCTGCGGGGGCGGCGCTGCTGGGGCACGTCGGGCACGAGGCGCCAAGCCCCTCTCGACGCGCCTGATCGCATCTTGCTGGTTGCGGCGCGTGGACTCGTTGGGCGACAGCCCATCGCACCTCAAGCCAAGTTTCCGCACTGTGCGGACATCTCCCGCAGCACAGTGAGACCCGCAGCGACTGCAACAGTAAACATTGTTACCCTTGAACACGTCGTGCCCAAACGCAGCGACGGCGTCCCCGACCTCCTCGGCCAGGGCAGGCGGCAACAAGGCTGCGAGGGCCGAGTGTTGTGAGCTCCCTTCGAGCGCCAAGGCCGCGCCCAGGGCCATGCCAGCCCTCTGGTCGCTGCAGAGAACCCAGCCCTCGCCGAAGGCGCGGAAGTACTCGGCGTTGCGAGCTCTGGCAACACGCGAGGGGCGACCTACACGATGAGAGCCAATTTGCAGCGACTCGAGGGAGGAGCCCGTTGTGACCGTAACCTCGCATTGGGTACATCGGTACCGCCCAAGGCTGGCGCAGTAAGCAGGAGGGGGAAGGAGGAGGAGGAGGAGGAGGAGGAGGAGGAGGAGGAGGAGGAGGAGGGGGAGAAGGAGGAGGAGGAAGAGGACGAGGACGAGGACGAGGAGAGAAGGAGGAGGACGAGGAGAGAAGGAGAAGGAGAAGAAGAAACCGCACCAACATCATATACGAAGGCACGTTGTATAGCACATGTCAGGGTGAGGCTTTCGGCGGGACCGTCGAGTCACACCCCAAGATCCCGGAGTCCCCTTCCGAGCTCTCAGGTGCTCCCCAGTTCTTGTCCGCGCGATGGCCGCCAATAGGAAAGCTGAAGCAAGAGGAGCAGCGGGACCAGGAGCAGGATGAAGAGCAGAAGGAGGCCTCCTTCTCCTCCTCCTCCTCCTTCTCCTCCTCCTCCTCCTCCTCCCCCTCCTCCTCCTCCCTGTCATCTGTCAGAGTGAGGGGGCCGAACGTGGCCGAACGGCCGAATGGTCATTCATTGTCCAAGGGTGCGTGGCTGAAGCGGGCGTCCACGGTGAGGATTGTTGATTTTGTCGTTGTTTGTTGTCGTCGTCTCGCCCGCGACCCAGCCAGCGACCCACACGCGACCTACCCGCGACACATCCGCGACCCACTCACGACCCAACTGCGACCCAGCCAACGACCGAACCCGCGACCCGCCCGCGACCAGCCCGCGACCCACCCGCGACCCACCGCGCGACCCACCGCGCGACCCGCCCGCGACCCACCCACGACCCGCCCGCGACCCACCGGCGACCCACCCGCGACGTACCCCGCGACCCACCCGCGACTCGCCAGCGACCCACCCGCGTCCCACCCCCTCACTCTTATCCGCCATTGCGGGGTGCGATTCGCCCAACTCCATTTTTTCGATTGCGCATGAGTAACACGATGCGGTATGCCTTGGAGTCTCAAGTGACACGCGTCCGCGGAGAAAGACCAAAGCAACGCAGCAGGCAGAGATGGGTGGGATTGGTAGGATGCCAGACATGGCGCGAGCGCACGTGCCTTGTCTTTCCCCTCCTCCTTCTCCTCCTTGACTTGGGAGGCCGTGGGGTCAGAGCCTGCGTCCACCGCGGCTCCTGAGGATGAGAGCCCGCATCGCCGCCGAGGCACGCGGACCGCCGCCCTGCCTTTGCCTGAAAGTGATCACCCCCTCCCCTGGGGACGCAGAAGTGCATACTCAAAGAGTGTGCGTCCGCCTCGGAGGCGTGCGTCCGACCCGGACATGTATGAAGGGGAACTGGGACACACAAATAAATACACACAAATTAAAATACCCCCATATTTTCACATATTTTCTGGGTTGTTGTCTTCCCCCCCACTTCCCATATTTTCCCATATGTTCCTGAGGGTCGACGATTAATTTTGTCTGTGTGTTTTTTTCTCCTCCTGAATGTAGTATAACCATCTTATAGCAGATCGTTTCCCGAGCGGTATGGCCAGAGAGCGCCCGCCACGGAGCTTGAACTGTAGGATTTCTCGGCGCTCGCGTCGCCCCTTGGGGGGGGGGCGACGCGGACATAGAATTTGTATGTTGGGGTGACGCCGATCTCCCCTTCCTCGTCCTCCTCGTCCCCCTGGCAGGAAGCAGGCCAAGTACCCCGTCGTCACAAGAGCAGGCTGATCAAGGAAGTGGGAGAAATGCAGTGGTGGTCAAGGCGCTCACGGAATGGGGTACAGCTGGGTGCATTCGAGGGTCGCCAACCCACTCCAGCGCGTTGCAATGCCTCAGGCCTGGAAGCGGCTGCCCCACTCTGCGATGCCACTCCTGAATCGGATGCGTCGGGGAAAAAGGGCATCCCTAACTACCCCTCCCACCCAAAATGGGTGCCCCCCACTAGCAACTTCAATCCGCGAATTAATCATCCTCCCGCTTCCACCCCGAGAAGGAGGAGGAGGAGGAGGAGGAGGAGGAGGAGGAGGAGGGGGAGGAGGAGGAGGAGGAGGAGGAGGAGAGGGAGGAGGAAGGAGGAGGAGGAGGAGGAGGAGGGGGAGGAGGAGAAGGGGGAGCAGGGGGGCGGGAGGAGGAGGGTTCTTCGCCATGCCTCGCTCTCTGGCGCGCACGGACGGCGATGGGCGGCGGGCGCCGTGCCCCAGAGCCGCGGCGGCGCCCCGGAGCACGGCCCGCGTCCTTCTTGGCCTTCGCGAGGGCCTCCTCCATGCTCGCCTCGACGGGGGGGGTGCAGAGTCTGGGGGGGGTGATGAGAAAAGGGCGTGGGGAAAAGGAGGAGGAGCAGCAGGCGGAGGAGGAGGCGGAGGCAGAGGAAGAGGAGGACGGAGAGGACGACGACGACGACGACGACGACGACGAAAAGAGGGAGGGAGGGAGGGACGGAGGGAGGGAGGGGTTTGCTGTTGGGAAAGTGAAAACAAGAAGAGGGAAAGAGGAGGAACTGGAAGAGGGTGGGCGGGAGGGAAGAAGGGGGGCCATCGGGGGGGGAGAGAAGGGAGAACAAAAAGGAAATCAAATCAAGCAAAGGCTTCGAGTGCCGAGCAAGTATTCACCTGCCCGTAGGGGTAATGTAAGGATTATCATGCAACACGTCGGCGACAACAGGTCTCGAGACAATGAATAAGCTGCCATGGCCAGCCCTCAGGCGAAGCCGCCCGTCGCCGCCGTCGCCGTCGCCGTCGCCGTCGCCGCCGCCGCCGCTCGGGGCGAGTGGCGGTCTTTGCGGGCGGTACCGCCCGTCGCCGCCGTCGCCGTCGCCGCCGCTCGGGGCGGGTGGCAGTTTTTGCGGCCGTCGCCGCCGTCGCCGTCGAAATGATTCTATCGTTTATACCCCCCCGGGAGTATCCCCCTTTTCGTATTAGAGTTTACATACGGTTCTGCACCATCGCCCATCCGAACTATGAACTCGCACCACCCCATGCGAAAAAGGTATCGACACCCACCGTCATCCTCTTCAAAACACACACGCACACACACACACACACTCTCTCTCAATGCGCGCACACGCGTTTACCTAATATCATCGGTGCTCAAAAATCTCGTGCAACCTCTTGCAAAAAAAGCGCGCACACGCGCGCATCGTCGCGCGCGTGTGCCGAAATCATTCCAGTACCTAGGGCGCTGTAGGGATGTTAAAATCCTGGGACGCGCCCGGCGGTCAGCGCCACCGCGGCCGCGTCGGCAGCGCCAAACTAGCCGGCCGCCGCGCGCGCGCCAGGGCCGGCGCGGCCGCAGAGATGCACGAGCCAACGCCAACCACTCATCGCAATCGCCGCCGCATGGGTTTTGCAAACCAAGTGGCGGGTGGGCGGGTGAGATGTTTGCAAGAGCAGTGGAGGTGGCCAAGCGCGGTGCAGGGCAGTCAATTGCACCACATAGAGCCTCCCTTCTAACAAAGAATCAGGAATCAGCACCAACCCCACCCCCAGCTTCATCGGCCCACACTTTCGCATTACAAAGTACATACGATTCTGACCCATCGCCCATCCGAAATATGAATTCACACCATCCAAGCCGAGCCAGCATCGCCCCCCCGGGGCATCCTCTGCAAACGAAACTGCGCGCGCACACTCGTTTATCAAAAATCAGCAAGGGCCCCTTGCCAAAATGGAACGAAAAGCACACGCGCGCGATGTCGCGCGCGCATGCCGAAATCCAGCAAAAAACGTTCGGTTCGGTTTCGGAAAAAATTCGAAATCGAGTGTCCAATGTATATAAATATATACACACACTCACATAAATATGCACTTACATATACATATACTTGTGTGCAAATTACACAAGAGAACACCCAAAGCAATGGATTATTTAGAAATTACCACAATGACTACAAAGATCGATTGTGAGCTCGATAGTGAGCTTGATAATGGAATCGATAGTGCGGACGATTGTAATGTCGACCGTGGGACCGAGAATGAAATCGATTCAATGAGACCGATCGTGAGATCGATCGCGAGATCGCTCATGCGATCTGTAGTGGGACCGATAGTGAAATCGATACTGAGATCGATTGTGAGACCGATGGAAAGATCAATACAAAAACGGATAATGAGATCGAAAATTGGACAGGCTGATAAGAAGATCGACCAAAAACCCGGCAACCTCGCCGCCCTCCGAAATCGGCCCGGAACCCGGACACGGGAACCCGGGAACCCCGAACCGGGAACCCAGCGCGCGACCAAAATCGGCGGGGCACTCTCGCCAAATCCTTCATTTACACCCGAGAATACCCCAATCACTGGATGATTTGAAAATAATTACAATGATTATTGAGATCGGCTGTGAGATCGATAATGACATCGATAGGGAAATTGATCCTCCGCGGGGCCTTGCGGGTCTCCAGAGGCGCATGCATTTTTTCTGCGCAGAGCAGGTCCGAGCCCTTCGCAGCGAGACAACAGGCGAAGCTTGCGATAACACTGCCGAAGCGAAAAATCTGGAACTGGGAAGCCCGCCCCGCGACGGTTAAAATGCGAAAGACAGGGAGAGGGGGGATGGGGGAGACTTGAGCATTGAAGGCGTCGGACACGGATGCAACTCAACCGTCTGCAACAATGACGGAGACCCTCTTGCTCACTCAGAATGCACGCTCGCAGAATTTCTATCCTCCGCGGGGCCTCGCGGGTCTCCAGAGGCGCATGTATTTTTCCTGCGCGGAGCAGATCCGAGCCCTTCGCAGCGAGACAACAGATCCGAGCCCTTCGCAGCGAGACAACAGGCGAAGCTCGCGATGACACTGCCGCGGCGAGAACTCTGGAACTGCGAAGCCCGCCCATTACACGCATAGTATGATCTGGCTTGCCACCGCAAAACTGTTTATGGATGATGAAAATGATCTCCACATTAGCTGGAGACTTGCACACTGCACTGAATTGAATAACGCTGAGGCAGCCAGGCGAGCGAAAGCCTGAGGGCAGGCGGCCGCAGCGCACGTCATCTTGGAACCTTCCAGCACCACGCGAGGTTTGTTGGTCCGGGAACACAGCCCGCGCCGCCCGGAGCACACCCAGCGGGGGGGGCTGAGGTCGCCCGCGCTCCAGGCCTGCAGGCGGGTCCACTTGTGAAGGGTGGCGCCGTACTGACAGTAGTCGAAGATGACCCGGGAGCTGGCTGGCTTGCTGGCCAACGCGGTCAGCCGAGGCACGGTCCACAACAGTGAGCCAGCTAAGTTCTCCAAGATGACAGCGACCTTCTTGGTCATGCATGCTGCGATGATGGCCAGCGAGAACTTGGCCGTCGCGTTGCCGACCTCGATCCGCGAACGGTCCGCGGGGCGCTGCAGCGCGTCGGGGTGCCCCCAAATGCAGCCGGCGGCTCGGAGAGGGCCGCCGGGGCGTCCTGGCTGTCCTCGGCGAGCGGCGCCCTATGACGAGCAGGGCGCGCCCAGCCACGCGCCGCTGATGAACCCCTGCTGGGTCCAGGCGAGCAGCAGCGAGCGCATTCCAGCCAGGCTCGCATCCTGCAGCGGGCAGTCGGCGATCTCGAGGGTCACGACGGACGCGCCCAAGCCACGCAGCCGAGTAGCGATCCGCCTGGCCCCTGCGAGGAGTTCCAGGAAGACGCCCCCGCCGCGCCTTCGCGCCAGGCGCGGGCGACCTCCGCCTTCATCCGCAGCTTCAGCGCGGAGGCAGCAGGGCAGAAGGAGCGGCCAGCGGCGGCGCCGGTGGCGGGCGGCGGCCCTGCAGGAAGCTCGCCAGGCCCCCCCCCCCACTGTCCGCACGCTCGGTGAAGAGGGCGGCGGCTGGAGACAGCTTGGTCGCCTCCCGCAAGGCCGGGGCCGCCTTCTCGTAGCGCCTGACCGAGCCGTCCGTCCGCCAGCGGCCCCGCTTCTTGATCTCGGGGAGCGCCCGTCTCTGCGAGATCGCATCGAAGGACGCTCCCCCATGGCGCAGCGAGTGGAGCTGCGGGCGCAGCGCGTGGACCCCGCTGACCAGCGCGGCGTTGTGCAGCACGGAGGTCAGGTGCATTGCGTCGAAGGGCCAGAGAGGGCCCGTCGCCCGCTGGTCTTTAGCAGCTGCAGGATGTTGCCGAGCCATCCGAAGCCCGCCCAGTCCAGCATCGCGCTCTCGTCATGCTCGCCTGTCTTGCATGCGCTGCCAAGCTCGCGGGCGCCCGGAATGATCCCCCAGAACGGTGAGCCTCCTGTGCCTGCGACTGGCGGCACAAGCGACTCGGCCGACAGGGCGAACAGCTCGCCCGGGCAAAGGTAGGCCATGAAGGCGACCAGGATGGCGATCGCCTCTTCGAAGAGGCCAAACCAGAGCAGCCCGCCGATCAGCCCCATCAGCCCGCGGCAGGGCAACGGCGCGCGGCTGTGGACGGACACGAGTTTGCGCCACCCTGTCACAGCGCGCCACGCCCTCGGCAGCTGCCGCTGGGCCTTGAGCTCGGGCCACAGGTGCTGCAGCGCGGCCAGGAACTTGGAGCCGTGGTTGGCGGGGTGGCCGTTCTGGTAAAGGACGTCGAACCACTTCGCGAAGATATCGCCCAGTGTCTGGTCGTCTGAGTCCAAGAGGCCGCCCTGGGCCACGCACTGCTGGAACCGGCCCAGGCCGCGCACATAGTCCAGTATGGTTGATCTCTCACCGACGACAGCTCCAGGACACCCCCCAGCTGGAAATGTGGCGAAATCTCGCTGGACCCACCCAGCGCACGAGGCGGCAACGGGCGGATACGTGGCGAAGAAGCAGCAGACCCACCCAGCGCACGAGGCGGCAACGAGGCGGCAACGCGTCGAGGAACCTCGCCCGACGCACACCGCTCTCCAGGCGGCAACGAGGCGGCAACGAAGCGGCAACGCGGCGAAACCTCGCTGGACCCACCCAGCGCACGAGGCGGCAACGAGGCGACAACGTGGCGAAACATCGCTGGACCCACACTGCGCACGAGGCGGCAATGAGGCGGCAACGAAGCGGCAACGTGGCGAAACCTCGCTGGACCCACCCAGCGCACGAGGCGGCAACGGGCGGATACGTGGCGTAGAAGCAGCAGACCCACCCAGCGAACGAGGCGGCAAAGAGGCGGCAGCGGGTCGAGGAGCCTCGCCCGACCCACACAAACTCTCCAGGCGGCAGCGAGGCGGCAACGAAGCGGCAACGTGGCGAAACCTCGCCAGACCCACCCAGCGCACGAGGCGGTAACGAGGCGGTACCGAGGCGGCAACGTGGCGAAATCTCGCAGGATCCACCCCGCGCACGAGGCGGCAACAAAGCGGCAACGGGCGTCAACGTGGCGAAACCTCGCTGGACCCACCTAACGCACGAGGCGGCAACGAGGCAGCAACGAAGCGGCAACGCGGCAATAACCGCACGAGGCGGCAACGAGGCGGCAACGGGCGGCAACGTGGCAAAACCTCGCCAGACCCAACCAGCACACGAGGCGACAACGAAGCGGTAACGTGCGGCAACGTGGCGACACCTCGCCAGACCTACCCAAACCCACGAAGTTGCGACGAGGCGGTGACGATACGGCAACGTGACAGAACCTCGCCAGACCCATCCAGCTCCTAAACAAAAACCGCTAAGTGCAAACACTGTTTGGGGAAAAGCATGAATCCAGCGCGACCCTCATCAGGGGAAGCGTCCTAAGTAAGTAACTGAGCAAGGAAGGCATTGCTTGGCGTTGCTTGGCGTCGATTTGCATTGCATTGCTGGGCGGCGCTTGGCGTTGCTTGGCTTTGCTTGGCACTGCGTGGCATCATTGGAGTTGCTTGGTATTGCTTGGCTTTGCCTGTCTTTCCTTGGCATTGCTTGGTGTTACTCTGCATTGCTTGGCATTGGCATGGCGGTGGAAAGGAGGCGAAGAGCAATGCCACGGAACCTGGGAAGGCCAGGACCAAGAAATCCGAAGGGAAAGCAAGGAACAAGGCCGGGGGACCGAAGAAGGCAGAGGACCGCCTCACGAAATTAAACCTACCAGACACTTTTTCACTAAACAAATAGCAGACCTCGGGCAAAGCCGATAGAATCAAAAGAGAAGATGTTCCTCTCGGAGGTGCGCATGGATTTCTCGCATCAGCGCTGGACCGCCCCTCCCTGGCGCGCTCTTGAAGAGGGTCCAGCGCCGATCCGCGAAAAACGTTCGGCCCTCCGGAAGTGTATGCTTACGTCGTGTTCTCCTCCTCCTCCTCCTCCTGCTCCTCCTCCTCGCCCTCACTCCACGTCCTCCTGCTCCTCCTGCCCCTCCTCCTCCTCCTCCTGCCCCTCCTCCTCCTCCTCCTGCCCCTCCTGCCTCTCCCTCTCCTCCTCCTCCTCCTGCTCCTCCTCCTCCTCCTCCACGTCCGCCCTGCGTGCCGGGGCCCATCCTTGGTCGACAGGTCGTGGGCCAGCTCCGCATTCGACGCCTTCATGAAGTCCTCGTACTCGGTCTGCGAGTCGAGGTCCTCGGCGCCCGGACTCCAGGGGGGGGAGGAACAGCGGGGCAGGAGGCAACGACAGGCAAGAGAGCAAGACTGCAGTGGTGGGCCTGCTTTCCACTACCACCACCACCACCACCACCATAAGTCGGAGGGGGAAGGAGGTGGAGGAGGAGGAGGAGGACGACCAAGAGAAGGAGAAGGAGGAGGACGAGGAGGAGGAGGACCCCCTCCCCATCCAACTTGTGGTGGCGGCGGTGGGAAACAAGCCCACCATGCAGGGCACCCGGCGCAGAAGAGGAGGGCAGAGGCGGGTGGCGCTGGGCCAGCGAGGCACGACACGGCGTGCAGCCCACTCGCGCGACCGCGTGCCAGGGAAAGCCGTCACGGCGCAACCCGTCCGGACGGCGCACGGGCGACTGGCTTCTCTGCGTCTGCGTCGGCGGCGAGGCAGGGGAACCCTGCGCTCGCGGAAGGCCTGAGCGGGGGTGCCGTCAGGGCAAGCTGTGCCGCCGTGCAAGAGGGGGAGCAGGAGGAGGACGCGGCCGACAGAGGGGGTGGATGTAGCGAGCCGCTCAGGGGGACGGGTCACGCCCCGAGCACGTGGCGCGGCCGCCGGCCCCGCCGGAGGGCCCGCGGCGGCTGCTGCGCCAGGTGTCCGGCGGCGGCGGGGCCCCGTGCGGGGGGCGACGGGCGACAGACAGGGGGAGGAGGGAGAAAAAAAAGGGCGGGGAGGCGAGGCGCTGGAGAGAGGAGGCAGGAACCAGACCCCCATCGCGTCATGACAAAAAAGACACGACGGGAAGCTAGTAGCCGTTTCCGACCTCTCGGGGCCCTCACCGGGCCCCTGGGATCTCGAAAACTCTGCTCAGGATGAGAAGCCGTACACCTGGGGAACGGGTCGAGACTTCGGGGGGTCCACGTTGAGAGAGAGACACGAGGTCGGAGTCATGGGAAGGAGGAGGGAGAAATAGAGTGCTCCCACACACACACACACACACACACACGGGAGAAGGGGTTCTGAGGTCCCTGGAAATCTCCTGGGGTTCCGAGGTGAAGTCACGGCGGAAGCCTCCAGAGACCTCTGGAGGCGGCTGAAACAAAACAAAACAAAAACAAAAAACGCACAAGAAACCTGCAAATTCGTTCCTGCCCCTCCTCCTCCTCCTCCTCCTCCTCCTCCTCCTCCTCCTCCTCCTCCAGTCGGGCGTTCGGTTCTATATCCGCGAGCTCCCCGGGGCCGACTCCAAAGCGGTGAATGTGGATACATTCTGGCGGTGGAGCGGCAGCGGTGGATGTGGATACAGTCGACCCGTATCATAAGGTCGCGCGATAAGGATGCAAGGGCCTTGGACGCCCATTGCGAAGCTTTGCGAGCGGGGCGCGGCCAACCAAATGGCCAAGGATGGGCCGAGGAGGCCAGGATGCAAGGGTACACTCGGGAAAGTTGCCCATCCCTGCTATGCGGAACGACTGCATATCCGCGAGCTCCCCGGGGCCCGACTCCAAAGCGGTGGATGTGGACACACCCTGGCGGTGGAGCGACAGCGGTGGATGTGGATATACTCTGGACGCCCGAACTGGGCACGGAGAAAACGAGCACACTGCCCAACAACAAGTGCTGTCCCAAACCAGCAGCGGCCGCCGTGGGGCAGGCGGACTCCTGTCCCAAGTGGGCAGATGCCGCGGCGACACCAACAGCGAGTCCTGCTCACAATGGACAAGAGCTGCTGTCGGTCGTTGTGCCCAGTCTTTCCGTACCGATTTCTGGGGGGGGGCAGAAACAGGATCCATGACACGCCGCCGTGGAGACCCAGCAGCGTTCCTCCTGTGGAAGAGCACCAGGCCGTCGGACAACAGGGCAGGAGGAGCACGCCGTCGGAACAAAAGGGGCTCGCGACACCGATACTCTCTCTCCCCCCCCGAGTTTCGATCGTCCCGACATGTGCTGGCGGGCGCGGAGCGCGCGAGAGAGGGGCCGACGTGCCAGAGAGGCGTGCGCGGGGGCCATCGCCCCTGCCCGCACACGGGCCGCGCGCTGGAGAAACCTGCGGCCACGCGTGCACCCGGGTCTCGCCCCAAGGCTGGCCACGGCGAGCGAGCTGGGCGTCCCGGCACGAGCCCCCCGATCCTGGGCCCGGCCGGGCGGAGGCGCGATCCTGGGTCAGCGCCTCGTCCTCCAGCTTCTGGCTGTCGGCGATGACGATCTGGAGCAGGCTGACGACACGCGCGCCACCTGCGCGGGGGGATTCTCCTCCTCCTCCTCCTCCTCCTCCTCCTCCTCCTCCTCCTCCTCCTCCTCCTCCTCGTCCTCCTCGTCCTCCTTCTCCTCCTCCCCTCCTACCCTTTCTCTGCCTAGCCAGCGAAGCGTTTCACCCATCTCCGTTGGCACCTGCGTCAGCTGGAGTTCCTACCCACGCGCTGAACGGCAGAGCAAGGCTTCTGCGCTTCGTAATTGGCCTTGCTGGGGACTCCGAATGTGTCCAGGGACCTCCAAGGACCTCCAGATATTGCCAGTCAAGAAACCTCCACAGACCCTGGTGATGAGAGAAGAGAAGAGAAGGAGGAGAAGGCGGAGGACGGAGCAGGGTGGCGATGAACTGTGCGCGGCCCCAATCAGTGGCTCTCTCTCACTCTCTTTTCCCTCCCTTCCTCGCTCTCTCGGTCTGTACCACTATGTACACACATACACAAATCACAACCTGTACCTACCTATACCTGTGTATGTCAATGTGTACGCTCTATTGATTGACTCCCCTGAGATGCCTGGAGGATTTTAGCGTTCTCGCCTTTTCGGGCTTCCGACCGCCCAAGACGGCCAAAGAGGCCCCCAAGATCGCCCGAAGAAGGGCCAAGAGAATTCCCCCTTCTCCTCGTCCGTATCGTCCTTCCTCCCCTCCTCATCCTCCTTCTCATCCTCGTACACCTCCTCCTCCTCCTGCTCCTCCTCCTCCTCCTCGGCTCAGTCTTCCTCCCCAAAGTGGTTCCCAAAGGAGTTCCAACATGGCTGGGAAGAGCACAGAGCTCAACAGCTTGGCCAACAGTTGGCCCAACCTTTGGCCACAGAGGCGTTTCCACAAGGCAGGGGGACGGCGGTGGTTCGCCGTAGGCGTCTTCCACCATCACCACCACCACCAACCACCACCAACCTCACCATGATCATCTTCAACACCGTCACCACAAAAAACACTCGCCATCACCATCATCATCACAACTGGATCATCGACATCGGAGCTCATCGATACCACTAATCATAATTGTTATCATCACCAACACCATCATCATCAGTATCATCATCATCATCATCATCAGCATCATCATCATCATCATCATCATCATCAACAGCAGCAGCATGACCGTCATCATCAGCATCATCATCATCATCATCAGAATCAAGAGGAGCAGCATGAACGTCATCATCAGCATCATCATCATCACCATCGTCATCATAATCATCATCGTCATCAGAATCGTCCTCCTCGTAGTCATCGTCATAATCCTCGTCTTTGTCATCATCGTCACCATCATCATCATCATTATCAGCATCAGCATCATCATGATCATCACATTCATCATCATAATCAGCAACATCATCAGCATTATCATCCGCAGCAGATGCAGCAGCAACAGCATCATCATCTCCATCATCATCATCATCATCATCATCATCATCATCATCAGCATCATCATCATCATCAGCAGCAGCAGCATCACCATCACCATCACCATCACCATCACCATCATCATCATCATCATCAGCATCATCGCCATCCTCGTCAACATGCTCATCGTTATCAGCATGCCTCTCCCCTCTGGAGGGGTGCCCACCGGCGTTCTGGCCGTACTTCGTGAAGCGCGCGGGCCCGTTCCCGGCGTCCGTGTGCGTGCCCGAGGTGGCGATGTGCGCGGCGCCAGGCTGCTGCTGCATGAAGGCGTAGACCTCCTGCCAGAAGGGTCGGCGTTGTGCTCCACCACACACCCCGTCACCCCTTGCCGTCGTGGTTCTTCAGTCCAGGATTATGTCGGGCGTGTCCCCCTACAGGGGGATTTTCGATGAAATATATATATATATATAAATATATATATATATATATATGTCAAAAATACTCACAAAATAGTCCCCATACTATTTTTGGAGTATTTTTATCATTTTTAGGGTATTTCTATTTTTCGTCGAACATCCCCCTGTAGGGGGACAGGCCCGACTTAAGTCCAGGCGCTGCTCTCCTATAGGCTGCGGCCTCCGGGCGCCGTCTCGGGGGCCTCCTTGGGGACATCAGAGGCGGACGGCTCCTGGACGAAGAACCAGCCCCCCAGCAAGCACCTCCCCTCCCTCTCAGATCGGGCGTTGGCAGAACTGGGTTTAGTGGAACCTGGTTTAGTGATTTGTACCGGGGGCGCCCCCCGTCCCACTTCCACTGACCGGAACTGCCGTCACCCGAAAAACACCAGTTACGGCAAACCTGGTTTAGTGAATCTGGCCAATTGAGGGGCCCCAGGGCCCTACCACTAAGCGGGTCCCCTTACCCGGGGTCCTGGCTATACCCCCTCGGATCTGGGGCGGCGCAGCCAAAAATCATAGCGTTTAATGGTCCAGCATCTTCGGACGCCAAGCCGCCTCCCAGCACCGGGGCCCTCTAAAAGCGGCTCGGGGTGAAACGCTGGAGCCCGGGAAGGGATCGAGATCCCCAGGGCGCCGCAGCACAGAAAGATGTGACCTCATTCGAGAGGGCATGCGGCCTCCTCCCTCCGCCTGCTCCGATTCCTCCGCTCCCACATCCTCCTAACCTCTCGGTATCTGCCTCGTCGTTGTCAGTCCGCGCTGACCTCCGACAGCTTCTTTCCCAATCAGTGCTTGCACTGACGGGGTCCCAGCGGACATTGAAAGATTTGGCGAAAATTTCCCGCCGGTTTTGCTAGCTGGCTGGGTTCCCAGGTTCCCGGTTCCGGGTTCTGGGTTCCTGGTTATTGGTTCTGGGCCGATTTCGGTGGGTTCCGGGTTCCCGGGTTTCCAGCTTCCAGGTCGATCTCTTTATCGATCTCTTCATCGATCCCATTTCAAACCATCCACTGATTGGGGTATTTCTCTGGTGTAATGCTCTTGTAGCTTACTCTGCACCCTCCTCCTCCTCCTCCTCCTCCTCCTCCTCCTCCTCCTCCTCGCCTCAGGGTTCTCAGGGTTCTCACCAAAGAGACATGTCGTGCAAGCACAGCATGCCCCGAAAAAGTGAAGGATGCCGCTCTCTGTTGAAGCTGCTAGGGAGTGACTGATCGCACGCTAGGGCGGGTATGGTCCTCCCCCCCCCGCCCACTCACCGCCCCCCAACAAGGGTGAATACCTGCGCTAGAGGGCAGGTGCTGAGCTTGGTTCAGCTCTTTTGCACCCTGGCTTGAGGGAGGCTGGACATAAACAGCGAAGATACCCAACAGCTACAGATAGATATGAAAGCTGAAGTTAAACAGAGGACCCAAGCTTCTCGCCCTCCTCCTCCTCCTCGCCCTCCTCGCCCTCCTCGCCCTCCTCCCCCTCCTCTTCGCATTGGTGTTCCCTGCCCCGCCCCTCCTCCTCCTTGAGCTCCTCCGGACCGCGCGCATGCCTGCCCGTGGACGTCCCCCCGGGAGGGTTCGGTGGCAACTCGCGGGCGCCTCCCATACCATCTTGTCGGCTCTTGCGAATCGACTCTAGTCGACGCTAAATCGACGCTACTCGACGCCAATTCGACGCTAATCGACGCTCACCGACGCCAAATCGGCGCCATACCATCTTGTCGGCTCTTGCGAATCGACTCTAGTCGACGCTAAGTCTACGCTCCTCGACGCCAATTCGACGCCAATCGACGCTCGCCGACGCCAAGTCGGCGCTGCCTCATCGTCGACCCCTGGACGCGAATCGACGCGCACCGACGCCGAAGACAAAATCGAGAGGGTACATACCAGGCTCCCATGATCTGCTACCGACAAAGGGGTGCCCCTCCCTCCTCCCTCCTCCCTCCTCCCTCCTCCCTCCTCCCTCCTCCCTCCCTCCCTCCCTCCCTCTCTCCTCCCTCCCTCCTCCCTCCTCCCTCCTCCCTCCTCGACGCGGGTCTCCTTCATGCGCTTGAGCGCGCGGTCGAGGATGAGCTGCGTGAGGCGCTGGTCCTCACGGCACGGCCGCGCGAGGGTCGTGCGCTTTTTTTGTCCGCACGCCGCGTGGCCGCTCGGCCCCGGGGCGGCCTGGCCAGGCTTATGTCGGGCGTGTCTCCCTACAGGGGGATGTTCGACGAAAAAAATACCCCACAAATAGTCCAAAAATAATCCAAAAATAGTTTCGGGACTGTTTTTGGAAAATTGTTTGACCTTTGGACCATTTTGGGGGTAGTTTTTATTTTTCGTCGAAAATCCCCCTGTAGGGGGACAGGCCCGACCTAAGGCCAGGATCAGCCGGCATCGAGTCGGGAAAATCGGTCGGATCGGAGCGTGCGCTATGATGTCCCAGTTGGCGGTGCGCACGAGGGGGTGGAGGGACGGGGGAGGGCATCTTAATAGGTGGCTGCTTCTTAGAAGGCGCTGGCCTTACAGCTACAGAGAGGGCCCGCGCCTTCTAAGAGGTAGGCGTGCTGCTAAGAAGCCCTCCCCCCACCCCCCTCTGCGCGTGGCTGATCCAACTTATTCTGACCTTGATCACAGGGCAGAGTTTCGAGCACCAAGAGAGTATCGAAACTGGACGCTTCGCACGCTTCGGGCCCCAGGCGGCGATGTGCTCCCTTGACGCTTCGCTGGCGGGTCGGGCAGACGCTGCTTCGATGCTTTTCTTGGGTGCTCGAAGGTATGATGCGGTCCTCGAGTACGATCGGACCAACACAAAACGTGCATGGCATGAGTCTGCATCGGCACGGAGACGGAATCGAGTCGGATCGGCCGCGCCAGGGTGCAGATCGGCGCCATGCCAGCAGCGGGGGGGGTCGGACCGTCGGCATCTCGGGGTCCAGTTGCGTCGGCCTGGCCAGAATCGATACCGAGTCGGATCGCATGAGCACTCCTGTGCCACACTGGGCAACTCGAAGAAGGCCGTGCGAAGAGCGAGTACAGTAGCTTCGTGCGGCGTCGGCGCGCGCAAAGGTTTTTGACACCGCCTCGACCGTTCAACCTTGAATCGATCGCGGCCCCGACCGTTCGAGGCTGAATTCCGTCGGGTCCACTGGAATCACCGTGCCCATCAGTGCTTCCGCGTCGCAGAATTCAGCCTTGATCTTCGTCGCCGCCGTCGCCAGCGCGCCAACGCCGCACGCACCGATGTACCGTAAGAACTGGAGAGGCATACTTTTCTGGTGGTCCGCGCGGACATCCTCGGGCCTTCGTCGGGCCCCGTTCCCCCTCCACGGCTCGCAGAGCACGGCCAGGGATGTGGGGAGGGGGGCCCAGGAGCCGACGCAGGGAATGCATCCACGAATACCTCCGACAGCTGTTTGTATATGCCGCCTCTTCGTCTTCGACTGGTCTTCGTCGTGGAGGGGATGGGGCGAAGGCAATGTATATAGCAAAACCCTTTTGCATGCACATGTTCAGTACCCTCTCTGGCTCAGGAGATCCCCGTAAGGAACGAAGCGGTCTGCCCGATACCGCCAAAAAACGATCCGACGTGCTATGAGCGTCCAGCTTGTCTGTCTGAACTTGATCGAGGAGGTGAGAGGGAACATTCTGGGGGAAAACATCGATCTGGAATCGGCGAGGCATCACCGATAGAATGGCGATAGGCCCTGAATCACGACACCGCACGGCCCTGGGGGTGGGCCATCGAGCACCCATCGGCGATGCATGAGCGACTGGAGGGTCGATGCGTTCCCCCCCTGAGCTTATCCCACCCATGTCGTTGCCCCTGGAAAGGGGGGGAGGGAGGTAAGGGGGCCTTCCTCGTCTGTGGCCCTGTGCCTGCGGCGTGAGCACGCACTCTCAGATCCCTCGGGCGCCACATGCCCAGGACACCCAAGCGACGGTCAGCAAGCGGCGGGGTGCACAGGAGGAGGAGAAGGAGGCGAAGGAGGAGGAGGAGGAGGAGGAGGAGGAGGAGAAAGAGGAGGAGGAGGGGGAGGAGGAGGAGAAGGGGGAGGGGTAGGGGGAGGGGAGGAGGAGGAGGAGGAGGAGGAGGAGGAGGAGGAGGAGGAGGAGGAGGAGGAGGAGGAGGAGGAGGAGGAGGAGGAGGAGGAGGAGGAGGAGGAGGAGGAGGGAGGAGGAGGGGGGGGAGGAGGAGGGAGGAGAGGAGGAGGAGGAGGAGGAGGAGGAGCGACTTGAGGCACGAGGGCGACGAGCGGAGAAGAGCGCGAGAAGGGACGGGAGGGCGCCCGCGCAGACCATGTAAGCCGGCACGGGGATGCCGGAGGAGAGCGCACGCGAGCTGCCCCGAGGCGGCGGTCCTGGATCGTGGTCGCCAGGTCCGCTGCCTCGGACTCGCGGTTGTCGGAGGCGAGGCCCATCTCGGCGGGCGGCCGCGGCGCCAGGGAGAGCGGGCAAGCGAAGGGGGGGGGCCAAGAGGAGGGTGGGAGGCGGCCAGGGGCTCCTGCTCCTCCTCCTCCTCCTCCTCCTCCTCCCCTCCTCCTCCTCCTCTCTGCCCCTCCCCCTTCCTCCCCCCTCCCCCATCCCCCTCCTCATCCTCCTCCTCCTCCCTCCTCCTCCTCCTCCGCCTCCTCCTCCTCCTCCTCCTCCTCTTCCTCCTCCTCCTCCTCATCCTGAACTGGTTGAGATCCCAGAAAATCGATCAGGAAGGGGAATGAAGCCAAGTCCGCTCGAAATCGGTCCCCGGACCCCTCCTGGGTCCATCTGGTGCAGCTCACCCCGATCAGTTTGTGACAGGCCCGTGACCCGGAAACGGCCCCCGGAGGTTGGAAAAGACAGGAAACCTTCCCGAACCCAAACCCTCGAACCTGCCCGCCCTCCCTGCTGGCCCGAGCCAATGCGGGGCCATCTCAAGACCCCCGGACGGCTCCAGCAAGGAGGGGCCCCCGCGACGGGCTGGGGGCTGCCCAGGGTGCCTCACGCCCAGGGTGCGCCCAGCTCCGCGCGCCACTCGCGAGACCGCCAGGGCCCTGTGGGCCTGGCCAGGGGTGTTCGGGAGGCCACCTGTTACCAGCCTGGAACATATCCCTATCCCTATGCTGGGCACCTCCTCATCACGATGCCAATCTCAGGGATGCCCTTATTTTTGAGGGCGAATCCCTAAGATTGTCGTCGCCTTTTGGCGTGCCAATTTTAGGGATAGGGATACGGTCGAGGCTGGTAAACTTGAGCGACGCAAAGACCTGGTCTTGCGCAAGATGGCCTAGCGACATTACGCGGCACGCCACAGTGGAGACGAGGGCGCTCAAGCGCGACTCTGCGCGGGCAGCTTTCGCGCGGAGATCGGCGCAGTTGGCGCCGTCTTCTCCCGTAGCTGAGGGGCAAAGATAGGGGAGACTGGCATAGGAGGGGGCACATCGACCTGGAATCGGCGATATATCCCCGATGGATCGGCGATAGGCCCCCCATAGCGAAACCGAACCTCCGTGGGCGGGTTGGGGCGATCGGGCCCCTGTCGGCGAGCAACGGGCGATTGGGGATCGATGCGTCCCCCCTTGTGCCTATCCCCCCCTAATTACCGTTGCCCGTGATCCCGCAGCTCGCCTGGGCTTCCCTGGATGCAGGCTGGCCCCACCCTGGGCTGGGACCGGCCTTGGGCGCGAAGTCATGGGGGGGCGATGCATGGAGGGGGGAGAAAGGTGTCCTTTTCGGGCCCGAAAGGTCACTGCACCGAACTTGCAGACGTGCTGCAGCAGATTTCTGCGTTGATTTCTGATCATGATAAGCCCCGAAACGGCGAGCGAAAAACGAAGTGAATTTCGCGTGGACGTTTTGGAGTCTTCATCCCTGGCCAAACAATCCGCCCGAAATTCGCCTCGAAATCCAGAACGAGACTCTCCAGGACACTCCGGGCCCATCCCACTGCTTCCCGAACGAAGTCCGCTCTGCGGTCTTGGCGCCATGAGAAAGGCCCCCTTCTCCGGGCCCGAAAGGGCCCCTTTCCGGGGCCAGAACGGGCCCCTCTTCGGCAGCCTTCGCTGCCCCATCCCCCCCCCCCATGATCGCCCTGGCGACGTCCGCGGCCGGCGGCGGCGGCGGCTGGTGGATGGAGGCCGAGGCGGGGCAGCGGGGGAGCACCAGAGGCCCTGGGGCTTCCTCGGGGTTCCTACCCCGAGGGGGCCCCAAGTCTTCCTCGTCTTCGTCGTCGGCCTTGTCCTGGAGGGAGGTGGAGGGAGGAGGAGGGAGGAGGAGGGAGGAGGAGGGAGGAGGAGGAGGGAGGAGGAGGGAGGAGGAGGAGGAGGAGGAGGAGGAGGAGGAGGAGGAGGAGGAGGAGGAGGAGGAGGAGGAGGAGGAGGAGGAGGAGGAGGGGGGGGAGGAGGAGGAGGGGGAGGCTGGATGAGTGCCTCCACGGGTGGAAACTTCCATACGTCAGCGGGGGAGGCTGGAACTGTACGCCTCAAGCGAGAGCGGATGGGATGCCAGGCCCCGTGCGACTACATGTGCTCCGACTGGCCCGACTTGCCGACGTGGCAAAGTCTGGAAGGTGTTGGATTTCTCTATGGTCTCGTCTGGGCTCGCTGAATCAGTGGAGGAAGTCCGCCGCAGCCGAGCATCTACGTTGAACCCTCGTTGGGCCGCACAACTGGTCTTCAAGGATCGCTGTGAGGTGCCTGAAGTCCCTGTTCTGATACGCCCCAAGAGGTTTCCTCGTGATTTAGGCAAAGTGCCCGATGGTCCTCCTGTGGCACCGATCGTTTGGGGATCGTTGGCTGACAGATTGGATAATACCTCTAGTGCCAAGTACTTGAATATGTTATGTTCCGAGTTTCTCTGGCTTCTTGAAGACGAAAGGTGCCGTGCTCACTGTCTTGATGGAGACCAGGGGGATCCTCATCGCGGCCGTGTCCAAGGGGCCAAGGTCCAGATGCGCCCTTTGTTCAGAACTACTGGTGGGCCGTACCCAGTGGGATACGCTCTGGCGAGTGGGTGGCGTTCCCCTCACATCTGGTTCCCTGAGCTGCACTATATCCGTTTGAAAGATGTGTCCTGGCTGGGGCATGATACGCAGTGAATCACGAATAAGATAGTCAGGGGACCTGTATCGTTTCGTGCTGACGACGAACGGCTCGGCCGGTGCCCTACGCGCGCCACTACGTCAGCAGCGCCAGCCCGAGACCTGCATCGATGTGCGCTTGCTGCGGGGCGCGCTGCCGATCGGCTCGAGCACGCTCACGCTTCAGCGCGCCAGTCGGCCTGGAGGAGCTGGGTCCAAGAGGCAGTTGCCAACGGGGGGGGGAGGCCACCGATGCACCAGGACCTCCACGGGAGGGATCCCTGCCAGTCTCCACTCGGGCTCGGCTCCTCCTGGGCCGCTCTAAGTTTCAAAAATCTTACGGGTGAATGAGGAGGTGTATGGCATACTCCTGGGGGGGCCCACCCCGATGATGCTCCCATTGCGTACCTCGAGTAGCACCTCTCTACTCTCTCTCTTTCTCTCTCTCTCTCTCTCTCTCTCTACTCTCTCTCTCTCTCTCTTTTCTCTCTCTCTCTCTCTACTGTCTCTCTCTCTCTCTCTCTCTCTCTCTCTCTCTCACAGTGAGCGAGAAGGCACGCTGAGTTGGGAGTTCCAGCCATGTGCTATTCGGGCTTGCTGCAAGAAGCTTAAGAGACGGACTGCCCTTGGGGCCGACAACGTTCATCCTCAGGACCTCCTCGTCGTCAGTGAGGATTGCCTCCAAGCCTTGGCGAGCCTCTGGAAGGCTACCCTTCGGATTGGCAGAGTGCCTGAACGCCGTAGTACTACCCTGGTCGCCATGATTGAGAAGCACACAGGATGGCGTCGTCCGATTGGTCTTCTCTCGGCTTTCGTGCACGTCATGTCCCGCATGCTCATGAGGGCGGCCACCTCCTGGGAGAGGGAACATACTAGGGAGTTGCTCGTTGGCAGCGTAGGCAAGTCCTGTGAGCGAGCTGTTTGGGAGCAGTCGGCGTTGGGAGAATTTGCACTGAACACTAGGATGGCGTTCTCTTCCACTCTTCTTGACCTCACCAAAGCCTACGAAAAAGTAGTCCACCTTTACCTGGTCCAGGCGGCCATCAGACATGGTTTCAACCCGCTTGTGCTCCGCTGCCTTCTCCAAGTTTACCGTTGTCAACGGCACTGGGCCCGGGAAAAATGGTGTCGAGAGGAGTTGTTGCATACCAGGCGATCCTGGCGGGATGCTCCTTCGTGAAGCTCTCCTTAAGGTCCTCCTCCTCGATCCCCTCGACTCCACGGCCTCGACCTTCAAGTCTGCGCGCATGTACAATGCGGTGGATGACATCACTCGTTGTATGGCTGGCCGAGCCCATGATATCACTCAATGGCTAGGTCGGGGTGTGACCAGCTCGAGGCTCTTGATTAGTCATCTCCGAAGACCAATGGGGTTGTTGTCGCTACGCATGGTTTCATCTCCAAGGGCATCGCTACTCGCATTCGGAAGTGGAAGTTCAGGCACAGTGAATCGACACAGAATCTCGGGGCCGACTGTAAAGTCCGAGGGAATATGGGAGCCAAAGTTCGTCTCGGTCGTATCGGTAAGCTCAAGCCTCGGGCTCATCGTTTCCGCGGTCTCCGTGCTGCAGCAGTCGGTGCGAAGAGAATCCTCAAGACTGGTGGGATCCCCGGTGGCATGCATGGCGCCCGTGTGCATGGCCTATCGGATCGACGCCTTGCACAGCTGTGCGCAGTCATTGCTCGAGGTGCCTTCGGAGCGCCGCGAGGGCGCTCAGGGACCCTTGAAAACCTCCTCTGCTCTGACCCCTCCCTCGACCCTACCTTCCAAGCCAACCTCCTCCCCCTCCAATGCTGGGTCCAGGCTTGGCGCGAGCAGTGGCTCCACAGGAGCCTCCTTTCCAACCTCTTCGGGACCTGCCTGGCCGATCCTGACTTCGGTTGGAACCATGTCCGAGGCCCTGGTGGGGCCGTATGTTGTACCCTGAAACGCTTCGGATGGGAACCTTTTTCACTCGACTGTCTGGAAGGATCCAAGAGAAGTCACGCTCGACTTCGACTACCTCGAGAAGAAGTTCCTCAGGTCACTCGTCCAGGCAGGCACCAAGGCCTCTCTCCTTTGCGATGTGTATGGTATTGAGTCTCCCAGCAACGTGTTGCGAGGGCTGCCAAGACTGGACCCCGTTACCGACCTGCTCCAGCGTTTACGCGGGACAGGGCAATTGGCCGAGGCTGCTTTCCTCCCGGGTGTAGTTGCAGGAGGATATCCCACTCAGAGTACGTTGTATATGGATCGGCGTACTGCTACTCACCAGCGCAAGTTCTGTGGTGAAATTGGAACCCCTGAGCATCGATTGGTTGAATGTCCTGCGACTTGGTGAATCAGACGTGAGATCGACCTCCCTGATACCATAGCGGCTATTCAGA